TCTTAACACGCTACAAAATTCAAACAACCTCACTAACAAACAAATATTTACTCCAGCAATAGTCTCATCGTTCTGAATGGGCATTAGCCATTCAGCACTATCTATATAAATCCACCTACTTGGTAAAAATTAGTGTAGCTAGTTTAAGTTGCAATAGGCTATAATTAATTTGTATTTATTTTTTATAAAGATTATTAATGTAATGACAGTAAACTCATTGTTTAAATAAAGTTTCGCATTTAATGCCTGTTTGCAATAAAAAAAAAATAATAATAATATTATAAAATTTATATAAGTTATATACTATATAATATTGTTATTGTTTTGAAAGAACAAAATAAAAATTATATCAATTTAAAAATATGATAAATAGAATGTTTTTAAAAAATAAATAACAAATAATAAATAAAATAATAAGTAAATAAAAATAATTAAAAAAAATTTACAATTAAACATTAAAATTTTTAGTGATAAACTTCAAAATTATTAATAAAATTAATTATTGAATTTATTCAAGTTTTAAATAATATTAAATAGATTATTATAAATAATTATTTTTAATAAATTTTAAAATTTGTTATAATATTGAAATTATAAAAACAACAATATATAAAAATACAATTTTAAAAAAATATAAATATATAAAAAAAAACATAAAATAAGAAAAATTTTATTAGAGAAATTTAAATGAATATTATAAAGCATATAAAAATTCAATACTTTTATAGAATAATATTCAGCTTATTATTAAACACTTTTACTTATATTATATTATATTTTAAATATTTATTTCAATATTATATAATTGAAGTTATAATGTAATAATAGACTTGCTAATTATATCTCAACAATATTTATTATATTTAGTTCTTTAGTTTTTAAATATTCAATATATAATTTTTCAGACAAAGATTTTAAGTAAATTTTAAAAATTAACAACCAATTTGATTTTTTTCATATAAATTTGTATTAAAAAAAGAGAGAGAGAAAAAACAAAAAAAAGTTAATAAAAAGATGATATAAAAAGATTTTTTTTAAATTCATTACAAGTTCAATTAGATTTAAATTCTAGATTTTTAATACCTTGTACAAAAGTGATGATTTTATAATGATATTACTAGCAAGGCCTTTTATTTTGTGCTATATATATTACACTATTAGCAGGACAAAATTTTAAAGATTTATATTAAATTAATAAAAAAGGTTTTACAATAGCATGCTTAACTTCGCCATAATACCATAATATCCCTCATATACTAGATGTACCGTGTACTGTATATTTAAAAGATTAAAACATGATAATTACTTAAAACAATTTAATCGCTATTATTTGATAAATAAATAAATAATAAAACAAAGATACGGTTTTGTTCTTTAAACAGGTTACTAATAATTATCATCCTCATTGTTTTAAGCTTTAGGTAATAACATGTTTTAAAGACCAATGGACTTGTTATAATATAAATTTCTTGCATGTCCTTTAATACTAGTTCGGAGGTTCATTTAACATATTCGTAATTAACATCTAACCAGGGGTGGTTTGACGAATGCTACGATTGGATGTTCACGTTTTCCATAAAAATCATTGGATTTTCTCAATTGTGATAACCACTTACTAATTTGTCTAACGAATGTTTTTTATGATTTCTAAAAACGGATATAATGCACACCCATTTATGTAATGGATTTACACAAGTAATAAGTTGTTTTAATGACATAAAATAACGTTAACGCACTTTTTTTCGTTGTTATTAAAAAAAACAAACAAACCAGACGGCTGCACATTCTACTTTTACATTCAACATGCAAAACCTTGTTTGACATGTGGTCTTTGTCCTTGTTACCAATGAAACTTTAGCAATACAGTTATGTTTATTTCAGTGTGTCAAAAAAAAAAATCCTCTTATTTAAATATCAGAAATTCTTTTATAAATAAAGCGTGCCGATGAACGTACGGCAATTAATATTCTATAGAAAATGAGAGAATCAGTACCCAAAGAACACCGAATTTCGATTGATGAAACAATTTCATCACCCAGCAATTCCGAAATAATCCCAAACAATAACAAAAAAATAGCACGTGTTGTTTGCTCACCAAACATGAAGTATGTTGCAACTGCAAGTTTGGAGGATAGTTCAGTTTACGTGTGGAAGTTCCCGGACAGAAAGAAAGGAGAATACGAATTAAAGTTTAATCATTCATTGGATTTAAAAGAAGTAGACTTAATGGAACCAATAAAGGTCTCAGATTCCAAAGATGTTCTTATAGGAAATTGTTGTAAGAATTCTTTAATCCTCGGTAAGTTCGGAGTTAATATTAAAGCTATATTTTAGCCCCCCCTTTTTTTATTAATATTGCATATAATTATTTTAATAGAAATCAGAGATCCAGGAAACAACCCAATAAAAATATTGAATGCTCAAGAAGATTTAAAAGGAAGAATCGATTGTTCTGGATTTCTTAAAAATGGAGAGTTAGTAATTGTTGAGGGGGATCCTGTTTATCAGGTCTACATCTTTTCTAATAACAAAAATCAGTGGCGCTGTACGAACCGAGTTAAACTCGTAAAATATAACAAGTGCATTATTTCTCAGGAAAAAGTGTTGATTCTCTTAGATATACCTTTTGTAATCATGCAATGGAACTTGGTGACACGAAAGTTTGAGGCACAATACGAATTAAATTGGAGTTTGACTATGTCTTGGAAATCGATTGGGATGGAACTTAACAGTGATTGTACATTATTAGCAGTAGCTGGACATGAAAAGCTGAAAGAGAAATCAAAAGTCTATTTCTATTCAACAGAATCTGGTACAGTGATAGCAGATCGTAAGTACCGTACTAGCTGTGTACGTGCAAGTAAACTATCTAAATTTATTTCTAACGTATAAATTTATTTAACAGAATCGTTTGATGAAACTTTCACTAATATTTCTGGTACATATCATAAGTACTATTATGTCTAAGTTGTCTAAGTAATCTATCTCTTTATATCACTAACCTATATACTGTATATGTTTTAATAGAATCATTTGACGGAACCGGTTTCGGCATTATGAATTTTATTATGTCAGAGAAAGGGAAATTTTTGCTTGTTTACTTTGAAGAGGAGCACTTGTTCTATGCCATCAATCTAAGCACTTATTCGAAATCAAAAAATTCAAGAAAGTTAGATTTAGCGGCGGAAAAGGATTTTATTGTTCCTGGTTATATTATACGATCTCATGATCGTTTACGAATTGAAAGTTTATCTCGAAATATGGAATGGGAAGAAGAGATACGCAGCGAACCTGGGAAAGATGGCAAAATTGATTTAAGTTACAGAGAAGAAATAAAAGAAACCATAAGAAATATTTTAGAAACAAATCAACCAGACCAAAAAATAACTCAAGGTCCAAAACCGGATTATAAAGGTCAGCTATACACCTGGAATGTTGAGTGCGAGAAAATTTCCAATGTATTCGTAGCTAGATTAACAGCTAAGCGGTCTGAGACAGAAGAGGTTATCGGAGCAGTAAATGTTCTTTTACGCACGATTGAGGCAGAAAGAGTTCACATAGAATTTCGACTACTTAAAAGCGAAGATTTGATGTTAATTTCCTCTTCTGGCATACATATCTGGACAGTGAATGCTAACTCTAATGGTATTGAGTTACTTCATTATTGGGCCCATTTGGATGCGTATTACGAATCGAAAACGGCACAAGAAGCTGTAATCAAACAACTTACTTTACTGAAGAACAAATTCGATTCTAAAGATTCTGAAAACTCATTACCTTCTCCATACTTTGACCAAATTATTAAGCACAAAAAAATAGTATATAAATTATTAAGGGGGCATAATAATTTAATAATAGGTCCTGAAATAGGCCCGGCAATAGGCCCGGAAATAAAGAAGGATCAAGGTATTTCGCATAAAGAGTTGTTAAGTAGATATAAATTCAACATCCCATTTCTGGAAATACACGGAAGAGACCTGCTCCGAGATTTTATTAAAATGAAAAGAGTTAACGAAAGTGAAGAGCTCTTTAAATATATTCTCAAAAATAGTTTATCTGATTTTCAGCAAGTTAATTTTATTTCCAAGTTTAACAAATCATTAGGCATGATTACTTATAATCTTTTAGAATTAGATGCGCTCAACAAAAATTATAGATTTACAGAACATTTTTTATTCAAAACCGCATTATTAATTCCTAATAGTTATGATCATCTTGAGGATAAATCGTCTACCTCAATTCACACAGACCCTTACAAAACTCTACCATATTCATTCAACACCTCACCTTTCGATCGCCTATCTTTCTGGTCAAAAAAAAACAATACTTTATCATCTTCTAAAAAAACCTATAAATTAATGGTACCCTTATTGAATTTTGCCACCTACCCTGAAAACTATTCAATTCATAGGGAATTGATTTTTCCACAAGGCAACTCTTTTACCTCATTAGATTCTCCCGAGTATTATAAATGGCCGAACATCAAAGCTCTTGTCAACTTCAAGTGGAACGCGTATGGGAAAATGTATTACTATTTGATGTGGGCAATTTACTCGATATTCTTACTATGTTTTGCCACAATCGCAACAATTCCACAAAAGAACATTTCATGGAGATGCCAGGAAGCTCTTTTGGTGACAACAATCTTTTTAGGAATTTTTCAGTTTACCTTCGAAGTTCGACAATTCATCCACTTTTCAAAAAAAATTTACATTCAAAGTCCTTGGAACTGGTTTGGTTTGTATATTCAATTACTATTTAATGCACAATATCTATTATGTTAAAAGTCCTGACTTAATTTGGTTTTCAGACATTGCTGCAATAGTTATTCCAACAATAACTTCGTTTATATGGCTGCTTGATAGGAATCCGCCATTATGGATCATTGTTATATCAACACTCGTGCTTGAACTCCGATTTTTAATTTTTTTCCGTGCTCTCGATCACTACGGAGCATATTTTGCAATTATGGTCGGAGTGATAAAAAAAGTTTACTACTTTATTATAATCTTGGGTATTATTGTTTTGGCTTTCTCCCATTCTTTACACCTCCTATTAAGACCGACCACTGAATTTTCATATGGTGATCCAAGTTACACTGATGATGGTAACAATCCTTGGAATCTTGTTGCCAGGTATCAATCTATTTCCGCCGATGGAGTTATTGGAAAACAATCTCTGATTGCAACTCCAGATGAAAGCACAAACCCATTTTCGCTATTCGATACCGCTCTATTAGCTGTTTATTTCATGTTAACGGGTATTGTATGATGTCCTGTAATTATAGATTAAATATAATAAAATTCATTACTAATTTTTTTAAACATCTCTAGGAGACAGAAGTTCGGTCTCGTCATGGACTCTAGGAAATAATCCGACATTAGCGTTAATATTAGTTGTGTTTTCATTTTTCACTGCAATTTATTTAATGAATTTATTGATCGGATTACTTAACACGGCAATAAACGATACAAATAATGAAGAGTCGCTTTTACATTTAAGGGGAGAGGTATGATTTTTTTCGTTTATTTATGATTCGACGATATTAAGTTACGTATAAAATTGATGATAATTTTCACTTATAGATTTTGGCGGATATTGAACTTTTTTGGATGTTACCCCGTCAAAGAAGAGAGAAGGATTGGTTTCCGGAAATTTTGTAATTGTTTCATAAATATATGCATCTCCGCTTGGAAGATTAATTCCGCCAGTTTCTAATACGAAATTTTTTTTTTTTTAGATATTACGAAGTTTCCGTTGATGAACTTGCAAAATATGTCAAGAAAATGAAAAATGAGGTATATGAGGAAGAATCAAATCCGTTGTTACCCGCTATTGAAAAAATTGTCGGTTATGAAAAAAAGGCTGATGAAAAATTTCAGAATATTGATAAAAGATTTGATGAACTAATCAAATTAATTAACCAAGAAAAGATTAAAAGTAAACAGATAGATTAGTAATTACTTTTTAGAAATTTAATTTACATTTAGAAAATATTGTTATTCACGAATCATTAAAAATTCGTACAAAATTTAATAAAAATTTTAATATTATTCCTTCATTGTCAAACATATTTCATTAGTCTGTTTGATTTTTTCTTTTTTTTCCTACAACCAAGTTGGCATCACAACTTATTATATCATCTCGAACCATTATAATTATAAAGATAATTGTCTGTATAAACCTATTAACGACACAAGAACTCTAAATATGGTTTATGGAAAAACAGTAATAGTTTACTGTCATTAAATTTAATAGGACCGTCGCCTGCATATAGAAGATACAAAAGAAAAAAAACAACACAACACAAGTACTGTATATGTGAAAAATTTTTTTTGATAAAATTGAAATTGCGGGTTTCTTATAATCATTGTTATGATTATTTTTAATAATTTCATTTAAAATAACGATATCCAAAATATTTAAAAGCATTCCCTAGAGTATCTCTTGAAAATAACAACCCAAAGTTGATCTCGTAATTTTTAATTTTTAATTGCTGATTTCTTTTCAAAATTTCAATCATCGATAAAATCACTTGTTCAGTTAATTATTAAATACTTTTAAAATTCGATTCTTTAATCATTGCCTAAATAAAAAATTGTTGTTTTCAACTGATTGCTAAATTGAAATAAAACTTGAATTCTGATTTGAGTATTTTAATTTTTTTAAAAAATAAATTAACACAATAAAAATAATAAATGAAATAAAAAAATTTTTTTCTAATTATTTTTTGATTACTTTTTTATTTCAAAACTATTAAATTATTTTTAACAATTAATTAGATCGTTGGATTTGTATTATATATTAAAAATATATTTGATATGTATATATATTTCTTTATTTATATTTGATATGATTAATTTATTATTATTTTTTAATTGGCTAACATAAATTTTTATTCACTTTTTGAAAAAATTTATCAAAGATATAAAAATATATATTTTTGTGAATTTGATTATAATATCAACTATTAGAAAGTAAACTTTTCTAAAATTGATTAAATATAATGAAATACTAATTTTTACATACAAATAAAAACAAGAAAAAGAAAAAAGCAAAGAATACTTTGCTGAAAGTGCTTATGTTTTGACTATTATACTACCGAAACTTTATCAAATCACCACCAAGTTATCATCAAATAGTTAATATATTCATAAGAAAACAATCACAATTTAATTATAGCAGCAGGAATTATTTTGTTATCAAATCTTTTCAATTAAGTAGCAATTAAAAAATTTCAAATTTTCTATTAAGTGATCATTAAATTACTACAAAATTATAATAATTTAATCATGTGTACATATCAATTTATTTGTGAAATTATTTTACAATAATTAAACAAAAAATATAATTATAATTAAATAACAAGATAATTAAGAATTTATTGAGATTTGTAATTATAAGTTTATAGCAATTAAGTTATAATTATGTAGCAATACATTTACAAATTTATTACAATTAAATAATAATATAATTATAATTAAACAAAAAAGTAATTATTGTTAGATATTATATATAAGATTAATTTGTATTAAATAAATAATTATTTCTTAAATAATACATATTTAATAAATTATAATCATTAATATACTATTATTAACAAATAATTTATTGTCAACTTCTATTTGTTGCCAATTAAATTTTATAAATTGAACATTTTAGTATTTTATTTGTTTATTTGATTTTTTCAAATCAATTAATTACCATAATAATATAAACATATTCATTCTTATATTCATAATCAAAAAATTGCTTAATTCTTAATGTAATTCTTGCATTTTTTACTAATATTGATATATACATGTATAATATCTTTAAAATATAATAGATATTTTCTGGAAATGTTATGATTATTCTTTTTTAAATAAGTCACATTTTTATAATAACTTATTGTTTTATTAATAAAAGCTAAATAAATTTTAAAATTACAATAAAAAAGCAATAGTTTCAACCTAAATTCTGAATTATTCATTTGACATTGTTAATATCTGCAATAAAAAAATATGAAGCAATAAATAGTATACTATAAAAACTTATAAAGTTCTTCACAAAATATATGTTAAAATTCATATTGTATATTATATAAAAAAATTATACAAAACAGATATTAAAAATAATATAATTATGAATTTATCTTTTTATTTATTTATTTTTTTGTAGGTAAATATTATTTTTTTATTTTATTTGTATATAACAAGGTATACATCATAAAAAAAACAACATCTCTCATATGTTGATACAATAAGTTAAATGTTAGCTTGCCTATAGTAACCATATAACTAATATTAAAAAGAAAGTTTAAAACAATATATCTTGTTATATGGTACTGAGCAGCTATAAATATCTACTTAGTATTAAGAGAAATAGTGTTTGGAAGAGATGATATCAATTTTTAAATACATTTGTTATAATTATAATTACATTGAATAAAAGAGTTAGTGACAATAGTTGGTAGGTCTATAATTAAGGATGGGTCCCTAAACTATTTAACATATAAAATTTTGCAGATCAATGATGTTCCTTTTGAAGGGACATAATTATTTATTAATTACTTTAATAGGGACATAATTCAAAAACACTTGAATCAAGTATCCTAAATTGTAAAAAATCTTTGTAGATAGTTTTTTTTTGATCTTATATTTAAAAAAAACTTTTTTAATAGTGAAGGACATTTGAATTATGTTCTTGCCTTTAATTTAAGAACCCATCTTTATCTATGATGATTTTGTTTGAGTATTGTTGAAATATGAGTTTTTGGTAAAGGCAATATAATTTCTTTTTAATCTGATTAAATTGGTAGCATTCGGTAATTCGTTTAGTTTCTATTTAATACCAGTAAAAAATGAGGTGTTGGCAGTGTTGTATTATAATTTTCAAATTAAATTATATAATTGAATTAGGGAATCTATTAATGCCTTGATCCAGCTGGTGATATTTGTTATAGAAAAGATTCTATCAGTCATGCCACATGACAATTCTACAACTTGCTATATGCGAGAAATTGGTTTGAGATTATTATCTAAATAGAGTATTTGATTGATGTTGTTTATAATTTGATTGATTTCTTTTGAAGCTTTAAGACATTTGAAGACATTTTGGATGTCTTCAGTATAAAGTTTGCATCTTGGACAATATTCATTTGAATATTGGTTAGAGTAATATTAGTGAAATATTTGACAAGTTGGGAGTGTTCCTGAGAGAAGTTTAATTATAAATGCTATTAGGTTGATATAGCTATTATTGTATATTTTTTTGATGTCTTTATTGAATTGATTGATGATTTTTAAATTGTGTAAGGTGTGACACTATTCAAAGGTTTGGAAAACTGTGGAGTTTTCACAGATTATATAATTTTTGGTAATACTAAAAATTTTTTTACACTATCTAATACTGCTGTCTAGGCACATGTTGTTAATTAGAAAGCTCTCTGAGAAGTGTGGTAGGTAGTTTCTCCATTGAATTGTCTTGTTTATAAATGGTTTGAACTTTGGTTTGGTGTATATGACTTCTATTAATTTCTGTTTCATGATTTGATTTATTTTCTGAATTAAAAAAGAAAGATTAATTTTGACTATTCTTCTCAGATGAATTAATACTGATCAAAAAATTTTTTTATTATTTCTAATTTTAATAGTATTGCACTGAAAGCTCTACTAAATAATATTAAGTATTGCTAATAGAATATTGTCAGAAGCTAGACAGATTTAGCAAATTCTATCTTGCACTTGTTGATAACTAAGTAACTTTTATAAGATTAGATATAATAGTGTTGATAATGTCTCACTTCTTGAAGTAATGCTTGGAGAGGTAGGTTGTTATTATTATTAATTGTTTAAAGGATTTGTTTATTTCCGTGTGGTGAGTTGATAGTTTCATTAATAATGTTCAATAGTTAATATTTGATAGTACTGAATAGATTAAGGGATCCCATAAGATTGATACTGTTAAGCTTGTAAATGTTATTCAACAAAAGCCATAGGATTGTGTATTGGCTAGATATCCTAAGTACCTGAAAGATTGTTAGTTGGATTTATTGTAAAGTGCTTTCCCTTAAGTATCATTTCTTCTTACACTGATAATCTTCTCTTGTGAATCTTAACTATTGTGTTTAAGTCATATACAAATCAAAATGTTGCTTTGTAATTTGGTATTGGACCATGTGACCTAAAAAGATTCTTATTATTTGCAAAGATTTTGAACCAATTTGGTTCTGAACCAAGATGAATTATTCCTGTATATGAGGCAAGTTGGTGCTATATAAGTTTGGTAGTACTGTTGAACTTTAGTAGCTGATTAGTGAACTTCAGGTTAAATACGTTTGTTGTGTTTATTGCTGTTTTTTTGGATTGGAGTTGTAGACCTGTAAATAGAAGGCCAATTGAATTTTCTGCATTGTTTCAATGAAATGTATACTCGCATATGTGGATTTTAAGATTCTTGGCTACTCTTGCTACATAGAGAATTCAGTTATCTTAACTAAATCTCTTTAGGTCACATATAGGGCATAACCATATTGTCTCTTTGATTTGGATAAATCAAATATCTTGTATAGTGTACTTCCTAATGGATGTGATAGCAAGTTTGGATATAAGATTTCCTACTAATGGGGTTTTTTGTCTTTCTTCTAGTGCTGATAAGTTGAGACCACTTTGGCTGGTTAACATTGTGTTGATGAATTTATCTTTTTAATTACACTTGATTTTCATTTAAGATCTTTATCATCTCTTTTTTTTTTTTTGCCTTTAATCAGACTGCAAGAGTTGCGTTTATTCATCCAATTTTGGAAAACAGTAGTACAATATAAATACTATACTAAAGCTAAACTGT